CGAAAACAAATTGATCAAATGTTACATATATTGTAAAAAACCAAAGGCACTTGAAATTTTTTTTGCAGCAAATGCAAGCAAGATGTTGATTGTAAATCTTTTCCCCAATTATAGAAGCTACGAAAAAAGGAGGGGGACATAGATGGTAGACCTCTTCATAAAAAGACCATTACAAAAGCTCCTCAGCTCATTTAAAACTCCTCCATGCCTTGCTTTTGGCATGGCTCCACCATCCAATTGACCCAGAACAGAAACAGCATGGTCAAGAAGAAAGTAGGACAATATATTGCAAGTAATGCCCCAAAGAACCATGAAACATTACCCTATGTTTTAACCAAGTTAATTTGAGAATCAAGTGTTAGGAAAATGGGGTCCAGTCCCATGTAAGTGGTTTTGGACCAAGTAAAGGCCATGGGCCTTGATCTTTTATTTTACACAGAGCCCTAGCTACTTAATAAAAAAGAGGTGGGGTTGTTTAAGGTGTGTGTCGACAACCAAGCAGAGAAAGAAGAAAAGCCAGGAAAAACAGAGAGAGAAAAAGGAGAAGGGAGAGTTGGTTAAACGGAAGTCGATCCGTGGTCCGATTGAGTTGGAACCTTGTCAGGAGGTTTATGATTCAGAGTTATACATTCTGAACGGTGAAGATCGGGTTTGAAGCTCTCTAGGAACAAATCCAGGGTGTATTTGTTGAGTCACTTATTTGGTGAGATTTCTCCAATTGTTTCTCTAGTTGTTGATTAGCTCTAGTTTTAGCTAGAGAAGAACTTTGTATAACTATTATTTGATAGTGAAGATTTTTCTGGTGGCCCGTGGTTTTTCCCTCTACACTGGAGGGTTTTCCACGTAAATCTTGGTGTGCTTTATTTTTCCTGCGCATTTGATTATTGATTGTTGTCTATTGCTTCTGTATTGTTGTGATTATTGCTTCAGGCGCAACAAGTGGTATCAGAGCGAGGGTTATTTTGAGACATCGATACAGAAGCAACCCAGGATAGAAGTAAATTCTGTTTGAGATCATGGAGGGTGATACAGGTTCCATGATAAAATTGACAGCATCAAATTATTCAATTTGGAAGCCTATGATGGAGGATCATCTATACTGCAAAGATTTGTATGAGCCAGTATTGGGTGATTCGGCTAAACCAGCAGATATGAAAGATGAAAGCTGGAAGAAGCTAGGTAGAAAGACGCTGGCTACAATCAGAAAATGGGTTGATATCAGCGTGTTTCATCATGTAGCGCAGGAGTCAGATGCTCACATTGTTTGGGAAAAATTGGCAGCATTGTATGAGAGAAAAACAGGTATGAATAAAGTTATGCTTGTTAAAAAAATTGCAACTTTACAGTACAGGGATGGACGATCTGTTACAGAGCACTTGAGTGATTTTCAAGATATATTTAATCGGATGACTACTATGGAACTTAAGATGGATGATGAAATGAAGGCATTATTTCTTTTGGGTTCATTGCCAGACAGCTGGAATACTCTAGTTGTGACTGTTCTTAATTCAGCTCCTGATTATAAGGTGACATTAGAGATGGTAAAGGACAGTATGCTTAATGAAGAAGCGAGGCGAAAAGATGTAGACCCTGGGAATCAAGCTCTGGTCACAGAGAACAGGGGTAGAAACATCGACAGAGGTCAGGACTCAAAAGGCCGTGGTAAGTCTAAACATAGATCCAAGTCTAGAGGTAAAGTGAAGTGTTTCCATTGTGGTAAGGCGGGTCATATAAAACGAAACTGTAGAATCTTAAAGCAAGAGCGAAAAGATGAGAAAGGCAAGAGTTCAGATGATGGCAATGTTGCAGCAGTGAATTCAGATAGTGATTCAGTTACTTTGATTTGTACACATGGTGATTGTAATCATGTTAGTGATCCCGGCATTGAGTGGATAGTTGACACAGGAGCGGCATATCATTGTGTTCCTAAGAGAGAGTTGTTTACAACTTACAAAGCAGGAGACTTTGGTTGTACCAAGATGGGAAACAAGAGTGTGTCGCAGATTGTTGGGATTGGTGATATTGTGTACAAACTAGTACAGGCTGCATGTTGACTTTGAGGGATGTCAGACACATTCCAGATATGAGAATGAACTTGCTTGCTATTAATGTCCTTGATAAGGAGGGATATGAAAGCCGACAAAAGAATGGACAGTGGAAGCTTCTCAAAGGATCTATGGTAGTTGCAAGGGGAAAACTATGCTGCACAATGTATAAGACATGGATGCAATTGAACGGTAACCAGGTAAATACCGTTGAAAATGATGCTTCAGCAAACTTGTGGCACAGGAGGCTGGCACACATGAGTGAAAAAGGGTTACAGGTTTTGGCAAGGCACTCTCTCATTCCCTTGACCAAAGGTATGTCTCTCGATTCATGTGATTATTATTTGTTTGGTAAGCATCATAGAGTTTCTTTTCGTAAAAGTTCTCAGAGAAAAGAAAATAGACTGGAATTAATTTATTCTGACGTATGTGGTCCCATTGAGGTTGAGTCATTAGGTGGTAACAGATATTTTGTTACTTTTATTGATGATGATTCACGTAAGACTTGGGTGTATATGTTAAAATATAAAAGTCAGGTACTGCAGTATTTTCAAAAATTTCATGCCATGGTTGAAAGGATGACAGGGTTACCCTTGAAGTGTATTCGAACTGATAATGGTGAGGAATACACATCTAAAAGCTTTGAAGAGTATTGCTCAAAGCATGGGATCAGGCATGAGAGGACAGAACTTGGAACACCGCAGCATAATGGTATAGCTGAAAGAATGAATCGCACCATTGTGGAAAAAGTCAGATGTATGTTGAGGATGGTAAAATTACCAAAGCCATTCTGGGGTGAAGCAGTCAACACAGCTTGTTATTTACTTAACAGGTCACCATCAGTTCCTTTGGGCTTTGACATTCCAGAAAGAGTGTGGACAGGAAAAGATGCTTCATACTCTCACTTAAAAGTTTTTGGGTATAAAGCATTCATGCATGTACCAAAAGAGCAGAGGTCAAAGCTTGATAGTAAAGCTACACAGTGTGTGTTTGTAGGATATGGTGATGAGGAATTTGGCTACAGGGTATGGGATCCAGTAAGAGAAAGACAGTCAGAAGCAGAGATGTGGTCTTTCATGAAAAGAAAACCATAGCAGACCTTGAGAAAAATGAGAAGACTACACGAGTTACTGTTGAGTGTGATGTTTCAACATCGACAGGGATTTCACAGGAAAGAGCCACAGATGGTGAAAATGAGCCAGAAACAGAACTTGGGGATATGAATGAGCCAGCCATAGTTGGTGATGAGCCAGATGCTATTAGTTTTGAGCAGGGGGAGCAATCCTCTCTACCTGAGAGTGTTGAGCAGGGGGAGCTACCTTCAGCATCAAGTGATGTAGAGTCTCAGCTCAGGAGATCTACTAGAGAGCGCAGGCCATCTACCAGGTATCCAAGTTCAGATTTTATTTTAGTTACCAGTGAAGGGGAGCCAGAAAGCTTTCAAGATGTGCAGGCTACTCCGGATAGAGAGCACTGGTTAAAAGCAATGAAAGAAGAGATGGAGTCATTGCGAAAGAATGGTACTTATGATCTTGTTAAACTTCCAACAGGGAAGAGGCCATTAAAGAATAAATGGGTGTTCAAGTTGAAAAAGGATGTGACAAACTAGTGAGGTACAAAGCTCGATTGGTAGTAAAAGGTTTTTCTCAGAAACCAGGCATCGATTTTGATGAGATTTTTGCTCCAGTTGTAAAAATGAGTTCTATTCGAGTGGTACTGGGATTGGCAGCTAGTTTGAATCTTGAGCTTGAGCAACTTGATGTTAAAACTGCATTTTTGCATGGTGATTTGCAGGAGGACATTTATATGAATCAGCCTGAGGGTTTTGAAGTGAAAGGAAAAGAGCACTTAGTTTGCAAATTGAAGAAAAGCTTGTATGGCTTGAAACAAGCTCCGCGACAGTGGTACAAAAAGTTTGATTCTTTTATGGTGAGTCATAGCTATAAAAGAACAGCAGTGGATTCTTGTGTGTATATTAAACAACTCCCTAATGGTAACTTCATTATCCTATTATTATATGTTGATGATATGTTGATTGTAGGACAAGATGCTAGTATGGTTTACAGGTTGAAAGAACAATTGTCTAAGTCCTTTGATATGAAGGATTTAGGTCCAGCAAAGCAGATTCTTGGTATGGACATTATCCGAGATAGGAGAGCTGGAAAGCTGTGGTTGTCACAGGAAAAGTATGTTGAACGAGTGCTTGGTAGATTCAACATGCAACATGCTAAATCAGTTAGCAGTTCACTTGCCAACCATTTTCATCTAAGTAAGAAATCTTGTCCAGTGTCTAAGGAAGAGCAACTAGCTATGTCTAGTATTCCTTATTCTTCTGCAGTCGGTTCTTTAATGTATCTTATGGTTTGTACAAGGCCTGACATTGCTCATGCAGTTGGTGTAGTGAGCAGATTTCTTTCTAATCCAGGGAAGGTTCACTGGGAAGCAGTAAAATGGATTTTTAGATATTTGAGGGGTACCTCAAAAATGTGTTTGACTTATGGAGTTTCACAACCAATTCTAGAAGGGTTTACTGATGCTGACATGACAAGCGATCTTGATGGTAGGAAATCTACTTCAGGGTATTTGTTCACTTTTGCAGGAGGAGCTGTATCTTGGCAGTCTAAGTTGCAGAAGTGTGTTGCTTTGTCAACTACAGAAGCTGAGTATATTGCAGCAACTGAAGCATGTAAAGAAATGCTTTGGATGAAACGTTTTCTTTTTGAATTGGGGTTGAATCAGAAAGAGTATGTGGTATTTTGTGATAGCCAGAGTGCTTTAGATTTGAGTAAGAATACCATGTACCATGCTAGAACAAAGCACATTGATGTTAGATATCATTGGTTACAAGAACAGCAGATGCTATTGAAGAAAGTCCATACTGATAAAAATGTGGCAGATATGTTGACTAAGATACTTCCCAGGGAAAAGCTTGAGCTTTGTAGTAACTTGGCCGAAATGAGTTCCCTGGCCAAGGTAAGTTCCAAATGAAATTGCTATGGTGATGAATCTCCTTCTAATGGGACTGGAGGGGGAGATTGTTAGGAAAATGGGGTCCAGTCCCATGTAAGTGGTTTTGGACCAAGTAAAGGCCATGGGCCTTGATCTTTTATTTTACACAGAGCCCTAGCTACTTAATAAAAAAGAGGTGGGGTTGTTTAAGGTGTGTGTCGACAACCAAGCAGAGAAAGAAGAAAAGCCAGGAAAAACAGAGAGAGAAAAATGAGAAGGGAGAGTTGGTTAAACGGAAGTCGATCCGTGGTCCGATTGAGTTGGAACCTTGTCAGGAGGTTTATGATTCAGAGTTATACATTCTGAACGGTGAAGATCGGGTTTGAAGCTCTCTAGGAACAAATCCAGGGTGTATTTGTTGAGTCACTTATTTGGTGAGATTTCTCTAATTATTTCTCTAGTTGTTGATTAGCTCTAGTTTTAGCTAGAGAAGAACTTTGTATAACTATTATTTGATAGTGAAGATTTTTCTGGTGGCCCGTGGTTTTTCCCTCTACACTGGAGGGTTTTCCACGTAAATCTTGGTGTGCTTTATTTTTCCTGCGATTTGATTATTGATTGTTGTCTATTGCTTCTGTATTGTTGTGATTATTGCTTCAGGCGCAACATCAAGCTGCTCAATTTTGCAGTGCCTGGTTAGATAAATTTCTTTCTGGCGGTTTCATTTATCAGCAACTTTATCACTGAAATAATGGAGACTCAAAGATCTTTTTTGTACGAGTCTTACTTTTAGGTTTTAATACTTATTCCCAACAGCCGAATAACCCGTTGTTAGAATTGTAGTTGAATTTTTAGTTTTTGTGATTAGGATTCAAATCTTGGCGGTCTCACTCTATGCCTATTGGGGTGGAAGATTCAAATTTTGTTGAATTCACTGCTACCAAAGGAGATCGGTCTTCTTCTTTTTCCTCAACCACTTGGTTCTCTTCAAGTTACCTTATCGTTGAAAGTGACTCAACAATGCTATTCTCTGGGCTAACAACCCCTCCACTGTTCCATGGAAGCATATCTCCAATCACATTGTGTCTCAAAAGCAGCACTAAAGACATCCTCTTCGAGTACATCTTTCGTGAGGCAAACGATATAGCTGATGGTCTAGCCAAATCTAGGGTATCTTGCTCGAATGCGTTGGTGTTGTGGTTCTAAATCCGTTGTGATTTATTTTCTTCAATGACTTTCTAAACTTTGTATTGCTCCGGATTCCCATCCTTGAATAATATATTCTCTTGCCTTTCAAGAAAAAAAACCCTATAAAAAAAAATGTTTTACTACTTATTGTTCCATAAGGGAATGGAAAAAAGAGTTAGCCAAAGACTACCCTAAATTTCTTTACTTCAATTGTCCAACTTTGTCAGTGTAATTTTTACAATTTTTATGAATAATTTTAAACGTTAGAACTTAGAAGCAGAAAATCACTCCATACAAAGGCTGTCGGTTATAATAGCTCTGCTCTCCGGCCAAAAAGGAAAAAAAATACCGACTGTTAGCAGAACAAATCTGTATCACTAACCAGAAATATTAATAAACACAGAAAATGGATTTTCATTTCGATTTCTCTAAGCCTTTGTTTCTCTTGTAGAGAATCACCATCTCCCTCAAAATTAATTCTCAAGCGCTTTTATTCAGAGTTCATTCAATATTATTGTATTACCAAAGACTACCATGCCACAACTTTTTGTTTTCTGCTTAAACTGATTCTTATACCAGACAGTTCTCTTCTTATCTCCATTTCAATCTGCTACTACTAATTTTCGCTGCTCTACAGACCTTAGTAACCTTTGGCATGTTCAGGCTTCTAAGCATAGGCCTATGAAATTTAACAAGGCTGAAAAGATTAATAATCTGCCGGAGCTGGAGAGCCGAAGGACTTGTGCAGCATAATACAAATCCATGTAATCAACAGTTGGAAGGTTTCGTTCATGCAATGTTGGACTGTTAATTTCAATGATGAAGGTTCAATCTTGATAACCTCAAATTAAAAAAAAAAAAAAAAAAAAAAAGAAGTGCAACATAATACAAATCCATGTAATAACTAAAGGCTCCCGGCTACCCCAGCTATAGTACAGATGCAGAAGAGACACTTATCATAAATTTAAGAGATTGGTCTTTGCAAGTTGGGCAAGATGGTGGATTCATTCATCTGAAAAAAGTCTGAAAGCGATGCTTCGACTACAATTACCAACAGTTCATCACCAAGTGATTAACTCCGACTCACCTGGAATGTACTAATTATGTTCTACATGATGGTAAATACAGATACAGTAGTACAGTCACGACGGTGAAACCCCTTTTCTCACCAACGGTTAATTAAATCTGGCATAAGAAGATAAGTCAGTACTTGAATTGAACACAAAGAAGCAAGTAAAAATCAATGTAACTATCATCAATGAATTAGCAGGGAGGATCAGAACTCAAGTACATGACCTGCTGAGTGGAAAAAAATTTTGGCCAGCAAGAACTAACCTGAGCTACTTTGGATTAACATATATAGAAGCGTGCACCGTGCTGTTCGAGTACCTTTAAGAAGGCCATTTCAGAATCTGAGTCACGACGTAAACCCTTTCACATCACCAGGAAGGAATATTGCAAAGTTTGGTATCATCATTCATCATTTTCAAGATTCATCAAAATTGTTTGCAACAAACTAGTAAGGCAAATGTATACCATGGTTTTCTCCAGCAAGCTTGTGGAATAAAGAGATATCTTGATTTCTCGTTACTGTTAATAAGGGTTAGGTTACTTTTGAGTAGCTTTCCCAGCGCAGCCAGCTATCGACCCCAACTCAAATCTGATCCAGAGGTGGATCCAAATGGGACACTGAGATGTTTATGGACAATTTAAAAATTGAAAAACAAAAAATAATTGAAGGAAAATTTTCTCTATACATTTTAAAATTTTTATTAAACATTCTTTTGATTGATAAAATTAATAAATTTTTTAACAAATATATATAAGTGGATATTAAAATCCTAAATTTGTCAATGATTTAATTTAAGTCTAGAATACTTAAATGCAATTTCAAGTTTAGCATTTAATAGTAAAAATTAAAATCAAAAGAAAAAAATTAATTTTTAAATCAGTTATTATGATATTAAAGTTGACGTTTAAAATTTATCTATTGAAGAAAAATTTTCCTCAACTTGTAAGTTTTCCTCAACTTTCTGCATGATTTTCATGGACTTTATTCGCTTAAAATTAGTCTTTTTTTCTTTTCATGTCATTGACTTTTGATTGGGCATTACATTTTATTTCTATATGTAATGATTACCTGGCAGGTAATGAGCTATGATTCGCATACAAATAACGTAATGGCTGTAGGATTTCAATGTGATGGAAACTGGATGTATTCTGGCTCTGAGGATGGCACTGTAAAATTTTGGGATTTAAGGTAGGTTAAACTTGCCTAAGACAAGACACCTCTATTTATTCAAGTATCTTTCCCTTTTTTTTTTTTTTGTGGATATTACATAGACTTATTTCTCATTTTTAAGTCTAATGCAGAGCTCCAGGTTGCCAAAGGGAATATGAAAGTCGTGGTGCTGTTAATACTGTTGTCTTACACCCAAATCAGGTAATGGTATATCACATAATTCTCAGATTGTTAATTGCTTGAATCCTTTGCTGAATTTGCTATTATCTTACACCTAATTGTAGTTTTAAAAGAAAACATGTCTGTGTAATGCAGATTATGTTCTTAAGTAGGGATTATGTTGGCTTTTCTTATATGTCAATCTCCTCCATTTATCTTTTGGTTCTCTGCTGTTTCTATATTAATGTGTTTGCTTTATCGATGGATTCATTATGTACCTGTTGATAATTAACAAGCCTACCTGTTATCATAGTGTTCATGCTATTATGGAAATTGGAAAAACCATTTTTGTAATAACAAACTTATTGGTTGTTTACCGATCAAAGAAGAATAAATTTTATTGGACAAGTATGTGAGATTGCACTTAGCACATTTAAACATTTCAAAGTTCATCTTTGCTATTTCTTGAACAGCATTTACCAAGTGAAGCATATCTACCTTGTAGATTTTTTTGCCACTCTTATTCATTTTCTCTCGCTTGCACAACATTGATTGTTAGACATGTTTTTGATTGCATATCCTTGTTTTTGTAGACTGAGTTGATATCTGGTGACCAAAATGGTAACATTCGTGTGTGGGATTTGACAGCTAACTCTTGCAGCTGTGAATTGGTATCTTTTCTTTCTTCTATCTCCATTATATTTTTTATTTCTTCTTGGATTTTCTGTTTTCTGTTAACATATGCATGAGATGTCTCTTGCATCAGCATGAACTTAGTGCCTTTATGGTCGTCTACATTGGTTGTTCTATACCATATTAAAACTTGAGTTTTGCTGATTATAGGATTTTTTTATTTTCTCATTGCAAAATTGTGAAAAAGTTAGGAAATATATCCAAGACCATGAGTTTCTGAAAAGCTGTGTGGATGTGCTCAGATACACTCAAAGGATAGCTGTTCTGTTCATCACATTAAGGAAGATAATTGATTGGATTTTGGAATGCTGTTCCAATAACTCGTAGCGAGGAAACTGTTTATAGTATTTTTGAGCTGTTTATATGATATACATACACTTAAATAGTTCTCATGTACTACAAGTTAGCTGGAAAAGCTACAATAGGCATCCTTGCCTCCTATGGCCTTCAGAAAAGCCTGTGAATATTTATTTAAGTTTTAGGTCTCTGGCAATACCATTTGCATTATCTGCTTATTTCCCCTTCCCCTTATCTGCTTCTCTACCCCACTTCCTTCCTTAACCCCTTCCCTACCAACCTATCCACATAGACTCAATCATGCACCTGAGAACTGTGTACATTAAGTTGTCATTATCATCAATTTTGTAAACCTAGGTGCCTGAGGTTGATACAGCTGTGAGGTCTCTAACAGTCATGTGGGATGGAAGCCTGGTAGTTGCTGCTAATAATCATGGAACATGTTATGTTTGGCGCCTATTAAGAGGAAACCAGGTTCAAATTTTATCTCATAGTTTAGTCGTGTTATCAATTGTGAATTGTCTTTCATCAACTTATCATGTTTTGCCTTATGAGGCATTATTTTTTCTTGCAGACTATGACAAACTATGAGCCACTTCGCAAGCTACAAGCGCATAATGGATACATACTCAAATGTCTCCTTTCTCCTGAGTTTTGTGAGCCCCACAGGTTCTACTGCTTAAGATTAAATCTGTTTTTTTTTTTTTTACTTTTTTATGGGAATTAATTATGTTTCTCTGCATTGAGATGCTAATGTAATTATTGTTGACATATCTTCAGATATTTGGCCACTGCATCTTCTGACCACACTGTCAAGATGTGGAATGTTGATGGCTTCACATTGGAGAAAACTTTAATAGGTATCAACTGAAGTCTCAGCTTTTAAGGCATGCTATCATTTTGACCACACATATATGTAGCCGACTGTAAATTGATTTTGGATTTTTTTTTTTTTTTGTGTTATTACATATCAGGACATCAGCATTGGGTATGGGACTGCGTTTTCTCAGTGGATGGTGCCTATCTGATAACAGGTATTTGGCTTTCAAATTGCATGTCCAAATCGTGCACACCGGCCATCTTAACCAATTATTTATAGCCTGCCTTGGTTTGATGGGGTTGGCTTTTTTGTTTTTGAATAAGTGCTGTGCTGGTGAATAAGCACCAGTATTTCTATTATATGTTCATTTGGGTGCTCTCACTATGTTTCTGTCATCCACACATTGAGATGCCAGAATCTCAATGATTCTATTATGACTCAGATGCTACAGACCCAAATCATGAAGTTATCTGTCTCCCCATATAATATTTGAATTTTATCTCTCTTGGGGCATACTTGGCAATTTATTATGTGAAGATTCATTTTCTTCCTTCAATTCCTCTAGCTAAAAGATTTGTGAGATATATAACTAGAGGGTTTATTACCATTTGCGCAAGCTTGTTTTGCGGTGGCCTACACCTTGATCTGCTAGGCCTCTAATCAATAACCTAAAACTTTGAATTTTCATTTGGATCTTTCTTACCCCTCTGATTTTCCCTTCTCCTCTCAACGTCTCCCTTATGGAGGGATTGCTTGTACAGCTTAGATGTTCCATATTACTTGAAGAAAACAATCCTAATAATCGGAGGTTTTTTTTTTTTTTCTCTCCAGAAAAGGTGTTATTCCATATTAGATTTCATCACGAGATGTTTATGTTCTTTACTTTGCAGCCTTTTCTGATACAACAGCAAAGCTTTGTACCATGTCAACCGGTGAAGGGATTAAGACTTATCAAGGACATCATAAAGCAACTGTTTGCTGTGCATTACATGATGGAGCTGAACCCTCCCCATGTTAGACCTACAATCACATGTCTGTCTTGGTTCACTTCAAGACAAATGTGCATTTCCATCATTATCCATTTGTACAAGTTGTACAGTGATCTTAGCGTTTTGAATTCAGAACAAGTTGTTTGATGTTGTATTGTTCCTACCTACACCGCTTCGAGCTTACATTTTTATAAGCTGAAATATCTGATTTTTAAATTAAAAAAAATAAAGTAATAACCAAAAAAAAAAGTTTTGTGAGGGATTGAGGGTGTAAGCTGTTAATGATCAATTACCCAGCATAAACCAGGTCCAGCTGTGTACATCTGATTATGTAGCTTGATAATTTACATGTTTTTGGCTGCTCCAATTGTCAGAATTGTAATCAATGATTAATCTGCAATTTATTTCATTCATGTGTATCAATGATCAAATGAAGTCATTAAAAAAACAACAAAACTAGACAACGTCGTTTATTCACAAATTTAAACCTCCGGTAATGCGTTTCACCTGAAAAAGAATTGTTCATAATAGATCCAGAATAGGTAAAGATGAGTGATTCCTTGTGCGCCTAATAAACAACAAACTCAACTCGTACCTGAAATTCTCTCTTCTTGCTAAATGCGGGGGGAAACTGAAGCTTCAAGATATTTTTGGTAGTCATAGACATGGATGGACTCCACCCTACAAGCTTGCCAAAGCTACTGATAGGCTAATATATATGTATGTATCTAATCTCTACCTTCTGCATCAAATCAAAAGATCCAGTGCCCATTTTCACTGGCAATCCAAGGCAGATTTCTAGAGGATGGTGTTTCCAACTTGTCCACCAGCCCATGTTTTGCTGCCTCAACGATGAATTTAGAGGCTTTCTCAAAAGACATCTTGCCGAAAGGTGATGTCGACTCTGCTATACAACCAAGTCGGCTCATAGGTCGATATGACAGCTATCCCGTAAGATGTGAAAACGTGACTGATCTCACTAATGATTGTTGCTCTGGCAGCTTCCGCTCCATACGTATTAAGCATTGCATGAATGTTGTTGGAATATAAATACCTAACATCAAGGTGATCTTCCATCTTCCAAAAAGCAACAAAATCCACTCCAGCTGTGTGCAGTGCTGGTATATTTTCCTTGTTAGATGGACTCTTCCTTTTTTTGGGATCTTCCCCGTAGTAAAACACTTGATTCTCACTATAGTCAGCCACTCGACATTGGTCAATTTTTCCAAAGCTCTGGATGTAAACCTTCTTTGCAGTCTTCTCAGCAATCTGCAGAAGATTATACCAGGAAAGACCAAAAGTGTGCATTAGTTAACTAAAAATTCAACTTCCCATAAGCAAGCAAGGTCCATTGGTTCTTTTTTAAAACTACTTCCTTCAAGTTTAAATGTAAACCTAACATCCATCCAGAAGCAATTTTGTCAAGACAAAGAGAATAAAAAGCAGGAAATGAGAACATTTAACCAGAAAATCGGTATATTTCAACCTTGCCACATCCCTCTTCCGCAGGTAAAGGCTGGAAAGCAAAAGCTTCAATGAAAGTATTGCATCAGAATAAGAAAATGCTCTTCCTTATTATTAGTTCCATTTTCAATTTGTTTCATAAAAAGGGGTGTGCCAGTGGTCTAAAAAAGGAAATTAGATACAAATGAAACAATGCTATAATGAATGACCAAAAAAAGAAAGTACCTGAGCCGGTAAAATATGAGGTTCATTTATCAACTTAATTTGGACCCCAAAGCACAATCCTCTCATAGCATTAAATATTGCTCTCAGTCTCCGTCCTATCAAACTTTCCTCTCATCTTTTTTCTTTTGGGTTCTGATCTGGTTTTTTTTCTCCCTTGAATTAGGCTTAGATCTGTTTTCTAGGTTTGGTGAACTATGAGAAATATCATCCTTGTCATTATCTGATCCAATCACATTATTTTCAATAGTTCCATTCTCATCCTCGGACAATCAATTTCAATTTCCAACCCAGCCAATGATCAAACTCAAGAAAGTGTAGGCTGCCAGACAAAAAGTTTGAATCAAACTCAAGAAACAACAATGAAACTAATGATATATTTAATTAAAAATGTGATTTACACCATATAAAAAAACCTATAAGAAAGGTGCAAGCTTTCATTACTTTCCATTTTTAGCAAACACTGATAATCTTTTTCATGACTTCCGTAAGCGAATTGTACAAGAACATAAAGTGTTAAAAGAGGTAAATAAGATAGTTAACAAGATAGAATACACTCCTATGCTATGGGATAACTATATACCATGATTCATTGGCTCAACAAGATTTGCATTACCTTCTAAACCGTAAAAAGGTCTTATTCCATGTCTTTACAGAGAATGATACCAACAAATAATAGCATCACTATCCCAACAAATAGTGTATGCAATGGCTTGATGCTAGAAGGTAAAAGGAAAAGAAATTGATAAAAAAATGGTCATGGACACATACTCATTAGCACGCACATACACTGCTGGTAAATTTGGAGAAATAGACAGTAACCACAAACAAGTTTGTCAAGGATTACTGTTCCAACAAGAAATAATGTGGAATACAATTAAGAATCTTCCAAGCAAAAGATAATTTTAACAGCTAATATCTAGAACTCTTGCCAGAAAGTCTCTTATACTTTAATCACTTGTACATTAAGAACAAGATGAAAAAAGACAAATGTAGAAGTGCTTTGACAGATTTAGATGGACTCTATGAGTGGCTTGGACAGCAACACAGTCAATTCTCCTGTAGCAAACAAGGATCAAGCTGCATTTGAGTCTATTACACCTTAACTTTCCCCCAACAGGTGATAGTCATTATTTATAAATGGGAATTACTCTTTTCTTTCCCTCCATTTTTTGTCATGTACTTAGAGATCAATAAAAACAAATAACTGAAATATAACCAAAAGACTATTATGCATAGACTTTCCTGTATTGTTTCCCTCACAAAGAACATTTCATATTTTTAAGACAGCTGACCACTCACATGGATCAGCACTGCAAGTAATTGTTAAGGTGTACATACCTGTCAGTTGACTAGCACAACATCTCCACCTTGTAAGTGCCGGTGAACAATTTTTCCTTCAAATGCATAGTCAAAACTCTTTGCAGGTTGGGTAATAGCACCTCTCGATGAAGGTAATTTTCTTGATACAGAAATAAGTTTTTTTTTGTTTGGTGGCAGTCTTTGAGTGGACAACTTATCAACATAGCGTGTAGCCCCCTGGATGAATTTCAGAGCCATTTATAATAGCTTCCCTCAGCTTTACAATATTCCAAGGAGTCACTCTCCGTAAGAGATCAACAGAGAAAAAAGGCATAAGAAAAAGTCAGATGTCAATGGTTTTCAAGTGCACTTCTTAAGTGGATTTATTTCCTAAAAGACAGAAAATTAGTAGAGAGATACATTTGCAAATGCACAGCATTACCAAAATAATTTTATGTTTTATATTTAAAACTTAAAATCACTTTAACCTTCAGAGATTCAAGGTGTAAGGTTGGAATCTGCTCTGGCCCCTTAGACTTCCTTGTTTGTATTCTAAAGGGTTTGTTATAAATGGCCCTTGAACTCTAGCAAAATGTTCAATGTGATACCTGCACTTTAAAAATCTCTAATTTGGTACTTAAAACTATGAATTTATTAACTAATGTTGTAATCACCCCTAACGTGGCTAGCTCCAAATGATAACACATGGCACACAAACAGCTCTCCAAGTACCACATTTGTTAACAAATTCATAGTTCAAGTATCACATTAGAGATTTTTAAAATTTAGGTGCCACATTAAACATTTCGTTATAATTCAATGGCCATTCATAACATTAACCCTATTTAAAAAAGAATATCAGGAAAATTTTCGTCATGATATATTTTCATATGTCAGTAATAATGATTGTTATTGATCAAGTGATGTTGTACAACAAGTCTAGGGGGAAAAACATATCGCTTGTCTATTGACATCGCATCAACAAAAGAGGTTTGACTAGTTATCTGCACCTCGAAACTTAACAAGTCTCATGCTGTTTAGAAGTAATTTTTTTTTCTATTTACAGCAACTTCCGTACATCATAGACTTAATTACTGTTAATCCTATTTTCGGTCTAAATATATATATGTATATATGCATAGTTATACTTAAAAGCATGCATAATTAGCAAGCCATGAAAGGTTTCCTCATAAAACTGTAATGCAAACCTATCAACTTGGTGTCTTGTCCTAATTAAGCCCTTCCTAGTTGTTATGGCCTCAAAGATCTACTACCAATAATCCTTTCACAAATGCTAGCTGTAGATTAATGGAGGCAAACAAAAATTCTAGTGTCTAGAACTGATTTTGCAACATGACCCATGCTAGTTGGGAAACCAAATCCCCCCCCCCCCCCCCCCCAGCCAAAAGAAACTTACATTGCAAGATGTCTCCAATCAAATAAGGAAATGCAGGCTCGTACTAAACAGAAGGCAAATGATTACAAGTAAAAGCAACCAGAAGCAATCATTATTAGGAACAACTGCATGACTAAGAGACCAAAAATATAAATCTTTAAAAGGCCAGCAACAATTTCTCAAGCTACAAAGCAATCTCAAGAGTCAAGACCAAGCCAAATAAAATAAATAAGAGAAGGAAATAATCTATACTGCACTCGTTAAACTCCATTGAAATAATTTTGAAAGAAATGCTAGAAGATCATAAAGAGGTTCAAATAACTTCCTAAAAATACATTAATCAACAAGATGAACTAAAATGGTATGATTCTTTGTAGCTACAATAAACATCATTACAAACTGCTTACCTCAGGATATGTTAACCTCAATGCAAAATAAGGTGGAATTCTGATCTCATTAAAAGCTAAATAAGGATCAGGAGATATAACAGATCGGCTAATAAATTAACTCTTTTTCCCCATCAGTTGGCTGAACATGCCTTTTCTTCTTTTCCAGCAACTGACATATTCCTGCGCTCACATCTCGCCTTTGGCCTGCCATTAAAAAAAAAAAAAAGAGTCCACCATTTAACAGGGACATCAAGTGCTTAATTTGACAACATTATAATTATATTTGAAAGATCTCAATCCAACAGCATTAT